GAAATCATTTTAACATCCAATTCTAGTGATCGGAATATTTCTAGAAATTACCGTATCGGGTTACGGTAACTCAATCGGGTACGACCAAAAGCCTCGTCTAACGCCGGTATCGGGTAGAATTCCACCGTGTCCAAAACTTAAACACGATATAAATGTGTTTAAGCCTTCATTTGAAGCCTTTGGTAAATTTCTCATTTAACACTCACAACCTCTCTCCTCAACCCAAAATCAAGGTCCAAAACAAAGATTTAAGGCTTGAAATCAAAGAGGTAACACCCCTAACTTGTTATTTAACCTCTTTAGCCTTCAAATTTGTGTTTAATTTGTGTTTTGGGACCAAGAACACGAGTTTACAGCCAAGGAACTAGCTTGGTCCGTAAACTCCTAACAATGGGGTTTTTAAGCCCTAAAACCCTTCCTTAGCATTGTTGGACCTTAGATATGACTTAATGGCTTAATGGAAAAGACTTATAACATGTAAAATATTGATTTTGAGGGAAAAAAGTGAGTTTACGGCCAAGACACATTCTTGGGCCGTAAACTCATATTCAAGGGGTTTTTGAGCCAATTAACCCTTCCAAATCATAGTTGGGACTTAGATATGACTTGTGGGACATTGGTTTTAGCATCTAAACACCTTAAACATGATTTTTGAGGGACAAAAGAGATTTTACGGCCAAGACATATTCTTGGGCCGTAAACTCCTCTTAATTGGGGATTTAGAGCCTTAAAACATGTCCAAATGCCTTGAAACTCAACCAATGGCTTTGTGGTAAAATCTAGATGCATCTAAAAATAGTTTAAGGGTTTGAAACATATCAAAAGTATCATTTATAGGATTTTATGGCCTAGGAGCATACCCTTGGCCGTAAACTCATAAAACCTTGTCAAATGATCCATTAAACCACTCCAAAGGCTTGGATAAATTCCTATAAATCACATGTGATTGTTCTTAGCATCAAAAACTAATTTCTTTTGAACATGGGTAGTTTACGGCCGTAAACTCCAAGGTGTTGGCCTTAAACAACCTTCTTTATGTTATATTCACATTTAATTCATTCCAAGGCATTTTAGAAATCCATTCCAACAATCCCCATGTCCATTTAAGCCATTAAGCATCCAAAATCACACCCACATGAGTTTACGGCCGTAAACTCATGTATGTGTGTGTTCAATAGCTGTAAACTCCTTAAAATGTTTACTCTTGGGGAGTAAACTCAAGTCCCAAGTCCCTAGTGCCATTACGCGTCCGAAGATGTCACCTGGGTCACTCCGAATGCTCGTTTTGAAGTGTTTAACTTCATTGGAGTGTAATGTTCCATATGATTAGTGAATGTATCTCTAATTGTATATATATGAACATTATATCATTTTACATAGGGACATCGTGAGTAATCAAACCCCGAACCAACGTCTAGTATCCAAAACTGACACGTTTCCGAGTCCGGTGAGTTCATACCCTTACCCTTTTTCACTGTTTTCACTGTTTTTAGGGGGGAACACAAGAAAAGTACAAGGGAATTATTGTACTCAAAACATGTTTTCAAATGTGTGTTTCATGTTTCATATGCTTTTATTACTGATTACCATAACTGATAACCACTTGAACATGCAGATCACGTAACATATATTTGTGAAATAGGTCTTTAAACTGTTATGTTTTACATATATTTCACAAATGGTTTTCCACATTTTATCAGTTAAAAGCATGACATTAAACATTTGAACATAATACCTGTACACTGTTTTGTCCTCGGTAACACTCCACACTCATACGCGAGTGGAGGACTATCATATTATTACTAGTAAATTTGCTAATCCTGTATGATTGGAGACACGTCCTCGGAGAACACTCCACCGAGATACGCGAGTGGAGGACTACACCCATAACCAGAATCTCTGGTATTTAGAGAGCGTGACTTGAGTGTATAGATCTATACGGGGCTGACTACCCCACACCTGGCTGCTAGCTACAGCCGAACCGAAATGGTTCAAGGGTGACGAAAGTCATAAGTATGTGGACGACTTATTGCCACATGTGGACTACTTATTGCCACAGGTTTTCAGTCTATTGTATGGTTATGGAACTTGCAATTAGGATAACAGAGATTTACTTATGGTAATAATGAACCACTTTATACATTTTTTTACATCTTTTACATCTTTCACGTACAGTAACTATCAATCAGGAAAGTACGGGACTTTCCTGGGGAAAACATGGAACCTAAAAATGATTACATCTTTTACATCTTTAACATCGTTTACATTAGAAACAAAAATGCAGGAAAGCATGGGGCTTTCCTGGGTAACACTTACATAACTAGAAAGAGTAACAATTGGATAACAATACAACTTTTACAATTGGTAACATACAATAACGAAAGTATTGGACTTTCCTGGTAACACATGATAAGTAAACAAAATAGTTTAACAAGTCAGATAACCAACTATACATTTTCACATGAATAAACATGTTTTCAGTGTACAAACTTTCAATACTTTACATTTGTGAAACAATAACCAACTATTAAGAAAATATGGGATTTTCTTGGTGCATATAACATTTCAGAAATGGAAAGGAAACTCGAAACATTTTCACAAACAAAAACCGCTTATGAACTCACCAGCTTTATGCTGATTTTCAAACCGCTTGTGTTCTCAGGTCAGCGTTAGAACAGGCACTCGAAGATCCTTTTTGCTTGGAGACGGTGTTCATGAAGATCCGTTTCTTTTGTTTATATATATATATATATATATATATATATATATATATATATATATATATATATATATATATATATATATATTGTATCACAACTGTACAAACTTTACTTTTGAAACAACTGTAAAACTTTTATTATGTAATGTGCATTGGATTGGATACTCAACGTGGTAGTCCACCCCGGAAATGTTTCCGCCTTCGGTTTTCGGGGTGTGACAACAGTTTCACCTCTCTGAGAAGATGATCCAGATCTTATGTTTGGGGATGATCACGATGATTTCCAAATTTTCATTTTTAGCCCCTTCACTGGCCATCAAGAAAGCGATGATGAGGATGCCTCTATGACGAAAGGGAAATTTCAAAAGCTTAACACTAAGTTGGATTCACTTTTGGAGTCATCTATTGCTTCTTCTAATTATGATTTTATGCTAAAGCCTCATCGAGCAGCGGTTGAGACGCTCACCAAAAGCAATGCAATAACCAAATCAATCCAAGCAAGAGAGAAGACCATTACTGAAACGACCGAAAAAGTCGAAAAACTACATGCTGAAGTTACAAAGTTTATGGTTGATTTCCAAAGCTCTGCTGATCAGAACACTGAAGTAGAAAACAAGGCCATTACGAGTCTCGACACAACTTTCCAAACCGAAAAAGAAGCTCTTTCTCAGGTTCACGGTGAACTCAAAGCTGACAACTCTGGCATGAAGGCTTCTATTGTTTCGAAGATATAGCAGCTTCAAAAAGATTCTTGCATTTGAGAACGCAATCATGGATAAATTGGCTGCAGAGACTGAAAAAGTCGAGGTTCTTTCTCTCAAGATCAATTATGCAAATAAACACTTCGATGATCCGGGGACTGATAAAGCAATTATCAAAAGTTGCGTGTCGGAAATTAATCGGTATTTGCATCGTCTATTGGAAACTCAGGATTCTATTCTTACTGTTTCGATTCGCCAACACCTCTCTAAAAAGATTAAGTCGGTATTTGCAATGTTAAACCACATTGAAGGTGTTTCGAAAGGTGATGCTTTTCCGAAACAAGGGGAGAAAAAGTTAAACAAAATGAAGAACCTAAGCCCCAAGATAAGAAGTCCACTAATGAACATCATGAGGAGAAACCAAAAATATATCTGAAGGTTAATGAAGCTTCGGGATCTAAAGGGAAATTAATGTGGGTCGTAGTTTGGAGGATCGGACCCTTGCATTCCTAGAGGCCCACGATCGTGTGATTAAAGGGGCTTCATGGAAATGGCCATAACTTTGGTTACGAATCTCCGAAGGGGACTTACCCATTTTTGAATCCAAAAATCATTTTCTAAATTGGACTTATGGATATTTTTGTGTTTTTTCATAATTTTTGGACTTTGTTTTTCGGTTTGTTTTTGGCCCATGTCTCTTTAGGGTTTCTTTTAAAATTCTGCTTCTTATTTAAGTATTTCTAATGTAATTTGGATGCTCATTGATCGGTTTAAAGAACTTTCATTTTTCTCTCAAAATTTCGTGTGTGTTTACTAAATTTTGAAGCCAATCCCACGGTATTCATTGAATCAACGTGGTTTGGGCAAGATTATCCTGGGTATTCTTTTAGAATCAACATTTTTGATCTTGGGTCATTTGTACGCTGCATCAGAAAGAGAAGATAATTGACGACGATGAAGAAGAAGAAGTTCTTTCAGAAGGAGAAAAACTTGTGAGAAAGAAACAAGACAAGGATTTTGATGATATTCTGATTCTTTGCAAAGAATTAGAGGCAAAGGAAGCAGAAGCCAGAGTTGCGAAAGTTACTCTTGCAACACATATATCATTGTTTCCTCCTTGGTCCTTATAGAGAATTTAGAAGGAAGCGATCGATGATCTGAGCGTTCACTAGTTTGAACTTTCGGTATCTTTTGAATTGAAAAATACCATTGACTCATAACTCGACTTACCACTAATTCTGAAAGCCTTCCTATTCTAAGGCTTCGCTCATATTGAGAAAGCACCACTTGTAGACTACAATGTTAACGATATGCTTTTCTCATTTTATCTAAAGTATCGGTAGCCTCAGTTCAAGACATGAAGCCTAAATAAGATGGTTGTTGTGAAAGTTTATGCTCCTTTTCCAACTGAACATTTTACAAATGTTAAATTTAAGGGTTTTCGAGGAGCAAGTCGCATTGAAGAAGACTTCACACTTGCTGATCTACCTTGTATGAATCCGAATGACTAGATTTCGTTGTTTCTAATTTTATCGAAATATGAAGTGAAGTATGAGCCAATAATTTCTCATTTGAAAAGAATGTTGATTTGCTACATTCATGAAGTTGCAAAACTGGATGTGGAAATCGCTTCAGTGTTAATGAAAATGCCAGTTGTGAAACCTGAAGAAGAAACAACAGACTTCCAAAAGAGAAGGCTGGGTAAGATTGAGAAAGCAGATTGGAGCATGGTGTATCAAAAAAAAGATGGTGATAAAGTTCAGAAAAGTTTGTTCCTTTTATTATACAAACATTTATACTATGTTGCTACACTGAACAACATCACGGGCTTAACTGTTGCATGCAAAGCAAATAATGATGCGGATCTGAAATGCTTCAAGGACATGATCAGTTGGTACCTTGTGATTAGGAATACCATTTTGAATTTGATGACTACGTTGTTCAAGGTTCAAAAGATACAACAATGAAGAGTCTCCTTTCTTTATTTGACACAAAGGGGGAGATTGTTAGGTTATTAATGTGTTATTTCAAAATGTTTTGTATGTGAATAGTCTTATTTATAATGGGTTAGGACTCTCCATCTGTGATTATGGTTTGCCACGGTTAGACTATTTAATATGCATGAATGTGACATTAGGGTTTAATGATTACATCGCCTTACCTAACTCTTACAGAGAAGTTCACCTTGAACTCTTCTACAACTTTGTTAATCTAAGCATTTAGCACCATATTGATATTCGTTCTTGTCTTATATTTGTCATTATTGTTTATAGAATCAAGTGATCTTGATTATTGTTTGTACAGTTGATGACTCCATGTGTTAGCTCTAGTTTAGGGCTTATTTCTTCATAAAATGGTCCTTAAGGTGTTTCTTGAGAGTATGAGCTACTCCATAAGGTTATAATGATAGGTCCTTGGGTTTCTTATGTCTCGTGAGCATAAAATAAAGTCTTGATGGGTTAAATTCAACCATGAAAGGGTTAAAGGAGGTTTCATGATGTTAGTGTAATACAGTCCAAGATTTTACCCTTTTAAGACATGATGAAGCATAAAGTTTGCAACTTTATGGCTTAATACATTTTAAGGAGCCTAGATTTGAAGTTGGATGTTAGGTATTAACTGATTAAGACCTCAAAAAGAGAATTTGGCCATTTGAGTCATACACAGGGCGTACTCACATATACAATGAGCGTACGTGCTTGGGGTCCCGACGACACAAAGCTTTTGAGTACGTCGGGCATACTGATGGTATGCTTAGCGTACTCATCAGAAGGGACATGGGCTTTATTTCGGGCCATTTTTGGGACTTAGGGACTTTGGGCTATTTTTGGGCCATGTGCTTTTCTGTGATGGGCCTTTAGAATTGGGCCCATTTAGGGCATGGTATATCTTCTAGGCTTTAGGAATAAGTGTATTTGGGTCTTGGTGGGTTAGGTCCAATAAGACAAGGATTAAGTATCCTTTTTCCCATAAATCCAGGATTTAGGGTTTGGACTCTTTGGATGGGTTATTGACCTAATTTATAATTAGGGTTTTATTACGTATGATTTAGAGTGAGAGAATTTCTTGAGTCATCAGCTCGACACTGATTTGGTATCTTCAGTCTGACGTGATTTTCCTTCACTATATCCATGGTTCGAAGGCACCAATGTCAGCCCACCCGATTATGTTTTAAGGAGTGGGTGCTAGCAAACTTGTAGATCCATAAACCTCTCCTCTTTAGGCATCATTTTTAGGTATAAAGTCTATCCCTTGACAATCTTTTCATTAGATCTTTATGATTGAAGTTTCATGAAATTTAGTCCCCAAGATTGGACCTTTATTATTTTGGACCACTCCAGGGAATTGTAGTTGTCCTTTCATGCATTTTAGGACCTATAGATTCAAAAAATGCTTGCTTGATCATTACCTTTAGCTCATGCATGATTAAAGTAGCATTGAGTGTGTTAGAAGCCAAATGTTGTTGCATTGGGGCCTTCCTAGCCATGCAAAGGCTTAAAGCCAACGACTTTAAGAGTTAAGACATTTTAGAATAGTCAGATCTGAAGTTGGGTTAGTTTTCTTAAGGGATTTGTAACATCCAGATTTTCAGGGTTATTATTGTGTAGTTTAATCTTTTGATTAAAGGAGAGACTCGACAAGTTGAGGATCCAACTTGCCGAGTCGAGATGGGTTTTTCATGCGGATTTAATGAGTGGACTCGACGAGTCATAGGAGGGACTCGTCGAGTAGGTGTTGGGCAGAGAAACCCTAATTTCTAGGGTTTGGGACCTATTTAAAGGTCCTTATGGCCTTCATTTGCGGCCACTACAGCCTGAGGAACCTTAGAGCACAGAGAGAAGGCTTGTAGTGAAAGAGGAGGGCCAATTCATCATATTTTGGTGTGTTCTAGCAAGGGGAAGGATGGATTTCATGTTAGGCTATTTGTGGGACTCAAATCTTCCATCATTTCGTTTAGAGCTGTTGTGAGAGGTAAGGATTCATGTTCATATTCGTTTGTGTGAAAGATTTCATGAATCTTGGGTTTCTTCTCTTCTTTTTGTAAGAGATCTAGAGTATGTGATGTACCCTTGTGTGTATATCTTCAGATTTGGACCTTGAGAGGTCCAGAGAGTCCCTATTCCCCAGCTTTATGCAGTCCTTTATGAATTTGGAGCTTAGGTGATCATTTTAAGGGTTATTTCTCCATCTATGGCTAATTGTGGGTTGCATGAACGTAAAGTTTGAACCTTTACGTGACTTTTGAGTGCTAGAAGGTTAGATCTACTAGTTGCTAAAGCAGATATGGCCTCAGAAGGTCGAATGAGCATAGTCATGGAGGAAACTCGCCGAGTCCATTGAGAGACTCGACGAGTTGCGTTGGGGTTGGCCCGCGATTCATATCAGGTGTAACTCGTCGAGCTAGGGGTTGGCTTGACGTGTCAAGCGAGGCTAGATGGAGGATTCAATGGACACGTGTGGACTCACCGAGTCGCCCATATGCACTCGACGAGTCGGGTCAAAGTTTTACTGTTGACTTTTGTTGACTTTAGGGTTTTGGTCAAGACTGACTTAAGAGAGCTCAGGGAAGGGTAGAATGGTCTTCTACCCAATCTTTAGAGCTGAAACAATGAGATAGTATTGATCAGGGATGTTATTTGAATAATACGAGGATGTCATGTTGGGACGTTGAGCACGAGAGTTCATTCGACTTCGTTTGAGGTGAGTCTTCTCACTATAGTTTACCTTGAGTGGTAATTAGAGTTATGTGACAGAGTTATTGTATGCTATTTATATGATGTGTTGCACTGCATTATTATATGTGATTTATGTCGTGTGTATATCAGAGTATATCAAAGTTAGAACCGGAAGGTTCACAGAGCTAGGACCAGAGGGTCCACAGAGTTAGGGCCCAAGGGCCCACAGAGTTATAGCCTCGAGTGGCTAGTATGTGTTATGTGTGGTATTTTGGGGAACTCACTAAGCTTCGTGCTTACAGTGTTTTGTGTTTTTTGTTTCAGGTTTTCACAAGATCACGAGACGGCACCGGCTCGATTGTACACACCATGGAAAGAGTTATGTTTTAGAGGATCCTGGATTACTATTTATTTGATTATGGAGTTATGTTTTTGTAATTTAAACAAAAATGAGATTTTTACAAAAAGTGTTTTAAGATCAAAGCGAATTTAAATGAAATTTTAGTTTTGAAATTTTTTGGTGTTACAAGTTGGTATCAGAGCCTTGGTTTGAGGGATTCGGATGCACCTTCGGGTAATCTGGACTCAAACTGAGAAAGTAATAAAAGTTTTCAAAGAAATGATTTTCTAAAGTGAATAAGAGTTCAAAGAGAAAGCCAGAGCCTGAACGGTGATTTCCCAAAATACCCTTGCTTTTGTATTATGAGATATTATGCATGCTAGAGATAGGCTAGGAATATCATATCTTAGGACTAGAGTGGCCTGATTTGTGATGCCTTAGCCTAGGAGATTGTTGTTATATGTGATGTGCTTTTGAGAATGTGATGAGTAACAGTATTCAGTTGGCATCCTTTTAGGGGATTTAATTAGAGGGGTAATCTAGGAGAGATTCCTAGATGAGTGTTGTGGTGCATATAAAAAGAATAGTTAGAACCCGTGAGGGGTAGAGTTGCAGAGTTTGGTGGTACTTTGGAGAATGGGCAGAACAAGCGGAGTTATCACACAGAGTGCGTTCTATGTATTCTTCGATGTGCAAATGCTGCTTGCTTCATGCTTTGTGGAACTCTCGATTATGGGAGTCAGCTACCGAGTGAATATGACGATATTCAGGAGGTAGATGGGTGGCATCATTAGGAGCTCTTCAGCAGCTGATGGAGGAGAAGTGGGAGGACCAAGGAAGAGCCTAGGGAGAAGCCTTAGTTAGCTGAGTACGCTGGCAGATTAGAGCATTTCACTGAGGAGCGAGCACGCGTGATGGTATTGGTGAACGAGAAGGTTGAGCTGCTACTTAGAAGCTCTGGGATGATCCGTGTGGAAAGTATGGGTAGATGTGGCAGGTAGTATGGGCCTGTACTACTGAAAGCAGAGGACCCATACTCGATACAAGGAGTATTCTGAAGGTTCTAAGGAGCATATTGAGGACTGATGTTATGGTTCGAGTACCATACATCGGACCAGATTGAAGAGTGATGTTATGGTTCGAGTACCATACATCGGAGCTGATTGAGGAGTGATGTTATGGTTTGAGTACCATACATCAGAGCAGATTGGGGAGTGATGTTATGGTTCGAGTACCATACATCAGAGCAGATTGAGGAGTGATGTTATGGTTCGAGTACCATACATCGGAGCAGATTGAGGAGTGATGTTATGGTTCGAGTGCCATACATCGGAGCAGATTAGGGAGTGATGTTATGGTTCGAGTACCATACATCAGAGCAGATTGGGGAGTGATGTTATGGTTCGAGTACCATACATCGGAGTAGATTGAGGAGTGATGTTATGGTTCGAGTACCATACATCAGAGTAGATTGCGAAGTCACGCCATGGTTCGAGTACCATGCATCTTAGAAGATTAAGGGGTGATATTATAGTTCGAATGCCATGCATTGTAGCAGATTGATAAGAGATGTCAGGGGCTGATTACCATGGTTCTTAGCAAATGATGCTTGTGATTCTCCGGTTGTCCGATCAGGATTGATTAGTGGAGTGTGGACGCGATGAGGTTTTAGGCCTAAGGGTCATTACTGAATCCGAAGAGGCATCCATTGAGAGGGAGGTCGAGAGCATTTCAGAGTACCTTGGTAAGAGGTCAGATGTAGTCGCAAGACTCAGGGATTAGTAGAGAAGGCATTTATGGGGGTTTGCGGTCTAAGTGAGCAATCAGCCGATGGAGGAGATGTCACATTATGTGACTTGTTGGGTGCTATTTATGTTCCTATGGGAAGTAGGAGAGGTGTGAGATTTCAGTTTTGGGTTTAGGAGTAAACCCTTCGGGTTTACTCGATGAT